CTTGAAAAGTAATCAATTACTTTGCAGTAATTGTTCAATTACTTCTGGGAGGCAGTAATCAGTAACGGTAATCGGTTACTTTTTTGACTGTAGTAATTGTAATTGTAATCAGTTACTTTTTTTCAGTAACGTGTACAAGTCTGCGAGCGGCGTACTCAAAATCTTGGGGTCCTGGGCTCAACCCTCCTTCAAGTACGTTCGGGATTTTGTTAATAGACCGATCCCACCAGCCAGTTTGACAACGCCACCGCTGCCGCGAGGCAGCGAGGGAACTTTAGTCTTTCTGCACGTGCGACAACCTCGCTAAAGCTCTGCGCGTGTGGAGCACGAGACAGCACGAGCCCTCTCGTGCATTGCCGTTTGCCTCCTGCCAACTAAAGTTATGACGGCGCCACGCATGCGCCAAATGCTTGGTGAGATCGGTCTATTATCAGTTTATGCACTTATCGCTCTCCCGCGCATGAGCTTGCGTTTCGTGTTCGGGTCGACGTCTAGCGCCATCCCAGCCAACCCAGCTCTTTGAACGTAGCACGAGACTCGGCTTTCCGCGCGTCACGGTGCTTGCTCTCGATGGTCACGGGAAACCAGAGGTGTATGTAACGCGCGTTACTAGTAACGAGTTCGTTTTTTTCGGAAACGAGTAACCTGCTTAGCTACTTTTTTTTCTTTTTTATAAAAGGAACGAGTAACGTACTTAGTTACTCTTAGGGCCAAGTAACGTGTGACGGTATTTCGTTACTTTTTAGGAATAACGTGTACAACACCGCTTAAACAGGCTCGTTTTAATTCTCAGCCTAACTATGCGTCCATTGCGATAAAGGCAGATGGGCGACCCAAAAAAACAACTAAGCAGTATGACAAGGTAGCAACGTTTATCGCTGAACACGTCAGTTGAACTCTACACCTGAAAATCTCCTTTAGCAAGCGAACAGAATAAGGTTTGATAGTTGAACCTTCTAGAGTCGTGTACAGACCGAATGTAAACCTGGAGGTTGCCAACACGGGAAGGCACGAATTCCAGTGTTAATTTAGAACTTTAGAAGCAGAGAGAACAAAAGAGAGAGGAGAATCCCAGATGCACCTGCAGCTCTTCTTCCTGAAGCACAGCACTGCCGTTCCTTCGAGCGCGTCAGTATAGGACGACTCTTCAGCGTCGCCGGAAATGAATTCTTAAGGAAGCGGGAAAACATAACTGATGAAAACTTGGAGAGGCAGCTACTGCTTAAGTACAACGACTACTTAAAAGAAAACAATTAACCATGAAACAAAATCGGTTGTGTGTTTGGTCGTCAAAGTGACCAGAAAAATAACTCGCTACCATTGAGGTAAAGTAACGCGGTAACAAGTCACGTATTTAGTTACTATCTGGGCGAGTAACGAGCAACGCTATTTAGTTACTTTTTTGGGTAGCGTTTACATGTCTGCGGAAAACTCACACGGCCTTTGGATTGCCTCCGACGGGTCATGCATCCGCCGCGGCCGCTCCATGCCGCGGGGAACGACAGGTTAGCAGAAGAGGCCCGTTCAATTATCGCTGCCATTTGCATTTTGACAATAATTTGTCATATTATGGACGTAACAACCGAGAGTAGGTTTATGGCGCACGAAGCTGGCTGCGGGTCACGGACGCAAGATTCTTGAACTCAAAATGGCGACGTGTATGGTAACGGGTTTTTGTCGTGTATCCAAAAAGCTGGAAGCATGACTGCTTCGTTCGAGAAACAAAAGAAACGAACTATATGTTCTGCACCACTTGCTTGTTAGGCTTGATTTAGATCCCACACAGGCCTGCGAGGACTATTTCATCAACAGCGTGAATAAACCAAGAATTTTTGCCGCCAGCACAGATATTCGATGAATCGCACTATTCGAAAACTAGGAATTCAAATTCAAACGTCGAGTCGAATTATTCCATCAATCACGATTAGATTCGAAATTGATTACCCCCCCCCCCCCCCCCCCCTCCACCGCCTTGTAAAGGGTCGTAGCTGTCTTTGAGAACAAGCGGATATTTTTACGAAAGCGCAGCACCGCAGGGAAAAAGGCACGACTCGTCGCGGTCAGGCGGCATGATCGAAGGACATGCCTTTGGCACGCCAAAGTGCCGAGTCTCTGTGTTTTCACACGCTTAGATACTGATCAAGAATCGACGCCGTGTGGATGCTAGCCCATCGGAAAAAAGTTTCGAAGCTGTGTTAATCACGAACGGTATGTTAGCTTACGCACTTTACGCTGTAAGTCGTCCGTTTGCGTGATTTTTGCAATCGCAAGGGATCGTTTGTACGAGTAAAGGCCCGTTCACACTCTTGCGACCGAGTACGACTGAGAGAGACGAGATCTCTTACAACTTCTTAAATGTTTTTAGAATGAGGGAACATACTGACATTGTGGCGCCATCTATGCGGTGACCCTGGAACTGCATTTCACAAGAGCGAAGGTTTTGCGGGATTTTCGAGGTCAAATGTGCGTAATACCCATAGAAAGGCTCGTTTATAACATTGTCAAAAGTTTTTCGAGCCAAGAAAGAAAGGATACAAAACTTGAAAGTATAAAACAGAGAGGACGAGGACGAGAACAGGACATCTTTCAAAAAAGATGTCCTGTTCTCGTCCTCGTCCTCTCTGTTTTATACTTTCAAGTTTTGTATCTATTAACCAACACGCTCGTTTTCAATTGTAAAAGAAAGGATAATTCTCGAGAAATAAAAAAAAATATGCCGGACCGCCGAGTTTACACTGCTTCCCAATAGATGGCGCCAGTGTGTTTTCTGGTTTAACAAGTTTTAAGGAACCCAGGTTTAAGAGGTCGCAAGAGTGTGAACGGGCCTTAAAGGTCATGCAAGTTTAGGAGGTACGTGCGCTTCGTCCCATGCACTATAATCACCGAGAAGATAAGAACAACCCTCTTTGCCGTTCTCACTCTGCCAGTGACTCGAATAGTTTTCACGTTAGGTCAAGCCGTGCGAGCAAATGCGACAGACCCCCGATTTGTAGACATTGGCCCAGAGCGAACACACTGCTCGTGTCACGATCATTTGACGACTCCCATGAGATTAGCAAAGTTTACAGTGATGCGATATTTCCGCCAACTTGCTTACTCTGCTACGTTTTAAAGAAATTTCAGGAATTTACGCCAACACTGCGCCTAAAGTTAATTCCACTTTATCAATATAGAAGCCGATAAGCCGGGCGTCGCTACACGACCGGATCTTTAGTAAGCTGAAGAAAGCTTTTAAAAATTTCGATAACCGCGCTTAGAATAACGTACTATTCAGGCCATATTCTCAAGTCGTCGATTGACCCGCAGTCCGACACTAATCGATAAATAATAACTTGAGGCACAAAATATAGTAACCATATAATAAAAACAATGTAACCTCAATGCAGATACGAAAATGACACGAAAATAAAGATCCGGTGGTGGCAGGTACTACAACAGAAAACGCATTCCACTGAAGAGAATCTGGAGGCCATTAGCTATGGCGGCAGGGCCATGCGATACGAAGATGGTGGCTCCTAAGCAAAGCTGCATGCACGGAGATACAGGAGCGTGAAAGGTGGAGCGGGAAAAACCCTTTAATTATTCTTGCAGTATGGGTTACCCTGAAAAGTCTTAGAAGGTCGAAAAGAAGTTACTTCGAAATATCTCATCTTTCATCGAGGTGGAAGGACCTCTACCATTGTACTAACAAGATAATCGTACGAAACGGGCACACGCCAAGATCAGTTAATGCAGGTCGCTAATAGAAGGCTTTAATATACCTGTGTCACGGTGCTGGCGTGGGGTACTGGAGTCAATTAAAATCCCTTGATACTTATTTTACAAGTAACGACAACCAACACAAATGATAAAGCACATTCGGCTCGAAAAAAATGTCGGCGTTCAGTTCGAACCTCTGTTGTTCGCCGCCATTCGCTTCCCTAAAACTTGCACAGTCACGCAGTCGGCGCTTCAAAGGATGTCGCTCCTTGTAGAAAGCTCTTATTCTAGGGACTTTATACTTCGTTTCATGTTCGGTCCGAGCGCGGCCAATGTTATGAGCCGACGGGCCAATCAAACAGCGCAAAAAGCGCAACGTCATGGCGGGCTCTTTGCGGAGGAGCACACAGTGCACAGAGAGACGGTGATTGCGGGCTGGTCCTATCAACAACAGAGAGCACGCCATGACGTTGTGCCTCTTCCGCTGTTTGATTGGCCCATCGGCTCATAACATTGGCTGCGCTCGGACCGAAGCTGAAACGAAGTATAGTATCAATGTACCCATGCAGTACGGATGACTAAATCACTTCTCAAGCTAAAGTCCTTTAAACTAAAAGAGTACCTGTAATAAATGTTGCTCGATGTCGCACGCTCGGTTGAGGGTACAGGCTGGGGCACCTATGCAAAAAACCAACCACAAAACGCACAAAAATAAATAAAAACATTTATTTATATATACCATTTTTTTAAGAAACGAACTAAACCAGGGTCTTTGCGTTACGGAACTTGTGAATATGCTTTTGACGACGAATTATCTGCAGTTTGCGTGCAGTATACACTCGGTTCTCGAAAACAACGTTTAACGATTTTCGTATGTTCAGATTTTCGGATGCGTTTCGCACTCCTACCAACAGCCCTGGGGTCAACCGACTAAGTGGTGAGAGAACATTGCTATACCAAATGTTTGCTTCGTAGAAATTTAAATTCGGTAGCAATACCATACGCTTATCTTTTTACCTTTTTTTTTTTTTTCTTGTATGTAGTTGCATTCCACACCGCGACAGTGATGCACGTTGGTGACGATCGCTGACACGAGCCCGAGGCACGCACGATGGACAGCTGCACGGATCTGCCGGTGGTTCCGAACGACGGCAAAACCGTTCAGTCGACGAAGGTCCAAGCGCGTTTTCCGAACTAACTTCTACCACACCGAGGTGCGCGAAACCTGAAAAGAAAAGCTACCGTGGCATTAGCAGACGGGTAGCGTGCATTCGTCGCACCGGTGATGACAGGACAAAAGGTGCGAACACACGCCGTAGCACTTTATTGTCAGCACGCAGACGTTGACTGTTCGCAGGTCGAAAACCACGTCCGCCCCGAACGGCAATGCCAGGGCGGCGGCCGGAAAGCAAATTCCCAGCAGCGAAGTAAAAAAAAAAAAACATGGCGAACGGTTATGCTCATGGTCAACGTGCGCAATCGTCAAACACAACCACTCTACGCTGTTAAATAACACAATCGGGAGAAAACACAACACAACTCGCTCGCTCGCTCCTACGACGCCAAAGTTAGTCGAGTAACACGCACCAGAAAGAACATGGCGGAGGTCGTCCTCGACAACCGACAGAAGGCAAGGTTGGTTTCGTTCAGTGTGTGCGACAGCAAGTCCACTGCACCACCCGCGTCCTTCGCGCTGCTTCGACGCAACACGATGTCAGGCAGCGTCGGGGAAATGACGGAGCCCGCTTCGAGCTTCTTCAATGATGTCCTTACCCCACTTCGCGTAGTATGTACACACAAACGCCGGCAGGAACAGCAGAGAACACGAAACCGGTCGAGTTGAACAGTCTGAGCCGCCCGAAAAGGCCCGCACACAGTAAAGCTTCGTCGTTTTCCCTGCCGGTAACAACCACTCAGTTTGAAGGAGGACAGACATCGTAAGGGCGGCACATTTCACCCTTCCTCGGTTTCGCCGAAGGACGCGCGACGCACATACGCCATCCTGACAACTTGCTACAAGATGAAGCGAGACGTTTCTGCCATCGGTTCGCGCCATCCAAGGAGCACAACTCGCCCTGTATGACCGTGCCCCTTCGTGAGACTTACTCCGCAACCGAGCATCGCGACGTACTGTTTGCACCGAAATAGGCCAAAATCACGAGGCACCATGTACTTCGCGTGGAATCAGCCTTTCTTACTAGCGCGTGTGCCACACATTTATAGGGTACTTGCGGCCTTCGCGCCAGTTGTGTTCTGTTCACTAATGTGCCCAAACCCTGATGCAAAATGCGTTCCAATGAGAGCCAGCTGAGGTAGCTAGGCTAGCTGAGGTAGTTTCGAAGCAATCAGAAGATGTTTCAATTTCAGACGTTCGATCAAGACGGGTTGGAATGTTGGGAACTGTTTAGTGGTCAGAGTTCTACGGGTTTTATCGATTCCGAACTCCTTGCAGACAGGAGACCCAACAAATCAAAAATAAAATATTCGAACACGCAGAAATCCAGTTTGAGAGTTGGTTTAGCGCCTGTCTGCTACGGAGTTTGTGATGTTCCTCGAAAATTTACGCAATTCAGCCTAGTTTACGCCACCTTGATCGCGTGTATTTCCACTCGGTGTTTGACTGAAAACCGACAGCAACCATACACGAGCGACTCGTAGTGCGAGTAACGCAGTCGCTTGTAATCTCTGGCACCTCTGAGGTCCCACGTACACAAAGTCAGTACCAATCGATTTGCTAATTTACGGACTAAAGCTACCGCGCTCCGCGATTCGAGCACCATTCTTCACGTACTCGGGGTCCAAACACGGCAAAAGGGAATTTCACGGCATGAATTCTTTGTCCACTGGCTCACGCAAGGTTCGGGTAAAAAAACATTTACCGAATTGTTGAAAAAGTCCACTACGAACGGGCCCGATATGCGGGTGATTACGCGAACCATCCCAAGATTTCGGTGAGAATAGGAAGTTCGTTAATCACACACAAAAAAAAAAAAAAAAAAAACATATTTCAAGTTTACCGCATCTATCGAAGAGGAGGATTCGAAAGGTCAAACGCCATCCAACTTTCAAATCTCGCGCCACGGGGGCGTTGGACGGATAACACGCTTCGATAACAAAATGCCGCCTAGAGGCAGTTTAAGGAACTTGGGAGTGCGTTTCATACACAGCGGCGACGGAACGGAAGCCTCGCAGCGCTGAACCAGCCGCAGTGAACATTTGGTTCCGTCACGCAGACACTGCCTGTTTACTGCTACGCGTGGTTTTCTTTATATCGTAATAATAACGCGAATACTACGATTCATAGTTTACATCGTCTTGACACACGTTGCGTTGCTACACAACAAGAGTTTGGAGATGGCCCGTTGCTCAGTGATACTCCGAGCACGAAGATTGCGCAAATGCAATTCGGGAAAACAGTGAGCATCTGCATGCTCTCAAGAGAGCTCAGTTGAAAACCTATATAGCTAAACCGCCTCCCTCCCCTTAAAGTTTAGTTTAAAAAAAAAAAAAAAGCACAAGACATGTGCTTGGCAGTATGTCGGTTTAGTTGCGTACAAAAGAATGAGTCGTGTATCCTCAGCTCGCTAATCTACTTACACGAAAACACGAGGTTAGGCTGTTCCATACGGTGTGTGCGATAGTTTCGTACGAATTCGAAAATGCGACGCAGACCCCGCGGCGGCAGCTGAAAGGAAAATAATCGCCCCAGCTCCGGTTTTTTCCGTTTCACACGGAATAAACTTTCGTTCGCATCGTCGTTGTTTCGACGAATGCACGTGGACCGGGCGCATCCAGCACGCCAGCAAGGCGCCAGCCAATTTGGTATCGTATCCCACCGCAAAGAGCGCGACTTCTGTCAGATATTCCGAGGCAACATTCGTCCGAAGAGGGAAATGCGAAAGAGGTTCATTCGGTCGAACCTCGCGAAAACCGAGCTCCAGCGTGAAGCTTCAGCGTACTCGGCATCGAATTTTCGTAATTCGCAGGGAAACATCGCGCTGCCACGTGAAGCAGCCAGAGGCAACGATGAAAAATACACACAATTTAGTTTACTGCACATAACGCTGTGCATGTCAGACATTTTGCTATGAGCTCTGCGCCCGTTTTTAATAAAGTGAATTTCAAAATAAACACGCCTTGCAAAAGGACAAAACGCAACACGCTCAGGAGCTCGCATTTGCAAGATGTGAACATTTTCTACAAACGTCTTAAAACCCAATAATAAAAAAATAAAAAAAAACTCTGAGCACGCTAAAGTGCACAGAGTGTCAAGGCAACTACAAATAACGATAAAAACCAACGGCCTTTTCATTTCCAAGACCGTTTTGTATATGGCAGCACGAGCGCACATGTTGGCCAACTCACTGCATTGAACGCGAAAGGCCTTACCCCGAAAAGCTTTTACAATTTGCATCACTAACTACCGGAGCAACGCTTGCTCGCGTTCATGTCAGGCATCTCCGCGCGCACACACACTCCCAATTTATGGATGTTGAAAGCAGGCCGAAACATCTTTACCGACTCTCACAAAACAGCTTCGAACGTCGCTCGTTCACGAAGCCAAGAACGACAGACACCCTTTTCAACATGACTCTCACAGACTGTTGTCGGTGAAATTATACATGACAGGAAAAGAGCCCGTGAGAGTTCCCTTCTCCACACTCGCTTACTCATCTAGCTTCACTCAGTGCTTGCACAAGTCGAAACGAATGTTGTAAAAGAAACTAAAAACAAACAAAAAAAGACATACACGAGAAAAGCAAGGTACAGCAACAGAAAGACCGAAGTTCATTTGTGCAACCTGCTCTACACTCCCATGTAAGGAACTAAAGAAAGAAAAAAACTTCACTTTTTACTTAATAAATATCACTCCATTCTGTAGATCACTCACTCACAAAGATAAAAGACAGTATGTAAGTACGCATATTTACATTATTTTTTTTTCTCTCTCTCGGGCGGTTCCTCTCGCAAACATTCAGCCGTTGTATCACAGCGCATTCTCCAGTACGCGATATACCTTCAAGTAAGCCAAACGCACACAAGCATGCACACTGACAGTCTCCTCAGTTTACTCCTCGGTATCGGGCAATTTACATTCGATGTCATCCAAACGTGAAATTTATTGAATGTTTTTCATGCGAATCCCCACGACCCATTGGGCCACGCGCGAGCCCCATCAGCTCTCGCGTAGGATGGCTGCCAAGTCCTGCCCCGGAGATTCGATTCGCCCTCAGGCTCTTCAACTATACTTCGTTTCCGCTTAAGCCCAAACGTAGTCGACGCTACGAGTTAATGGGACCAATCAACAAGCGTGAAAAGCGCAAGTCACTGGGACTTTTTTGTTTCTGATTGGTTCAGCGATGACGAACACCATGAGAGGCTGTCTGATTGGTCTCATCAGCTTTAAGGTGAAACGCAGTATAGAGCACCGAGGCTTTCCTTGTCATTTACTCCCTCCAACTACTCTCGGTCGGGAGCACAAAAACACCCCAAGAACAGAGCTGACGGGTTGGCGAGGCGACAGCGCGCACCAGACCAGACAAGAACCCACGAACACACGGACTAATCACGCCCAAGTAAATAAATCATGAACACACAAAAACGGGACACAGTGACGCGGCGGGCATGCACGAGTATATGTCCGTGGCGTTGCCATTTGCGTCGTCGACGCCAGAGTCCGCAAACGTAAAGGAACACCGTTAGGCAACTCATGGTAGGATATTCACAATGGCACTGTCGGTGGTGGTGGTGGTGGTGGTGGTAGTGGTGGCGGTGGAGGTGGTGAAGGTGGCGGTGAAGGAGAACAGTTCGACCGCCTCGGAGGCGGTTCACTCGAGGCCCTGCATCAAGATGTGCATTTCGCGGAACAAATGTCCGAGCTTGCCCTGCATGGTCTGCCTCTTGAGCAGGAACGACCGAATGGAGAACAGCTGGTTGTAGCAGCTCATGCACTTGTGGTACCTGCGACGAGGCAGACAAAAACAAACTCCCCAAGTCACACCAGGAAAACTACACACGCTTTGCATGCGAGCTATGGCGACGCCTCGAACCCAACGAACCAAGTTGAAGCACGTACTGCCTTTATATCTTTTGGGGAAGTGCTGTTTGCACGAAGATACAGATACCGCTTTGCGATTTCAGACAATGTTCAGATAACTGGCAACAATGATTTTAAGCACTTCTGAAGCGTCATTATTCTAAAGCGGAGCTTACGGAGTGGGCTGAACAACATCAGCGCTTGACTGTATCAACCTTCGGCCCAGTTTGGCAGTTTCGCGAAAAGAAAATAATGACACGCTCGTGACTGCGGCGTACGACGCCCCAACTCTTTATCCTTCGGCTCGAATGCCCGCGCTAGTCTTGTTTCTCGTGGCGCCGGTGGAAACAAAGAAACAAACAAACAGCAAAGCAAACGTAACCTTTTCTCTCTCTCTCCAATGAAAACCGAAAACCGGCGCAATTTCTTCGGAACTAATTTTTTTGCGCCTCCCAAAAATAATAGGTAGCCAATTGGTCCCCCGTCCTTTTCTCCTTTTGGCGTTCGACAACCAAGGACAAGACACAGAGAAATAAAAAAAAGAAAAGAGTGGCACGGAATCCAGGCAGCGGCAAGGGCGCGCTTCCACCGGCGAGGGTCAAGCGCGCACAGCGGCCACGCAGAGAGTCGTCCATTCGGAGCAATTACTCGACCGAGAGGTTTTCGGCGTGGCCGGCGGGGCGACGAAGACCCCGAGCCCCGGATCCTCCCCCACGCGGCACAGCGCCGGCCCGTGCACGTCCCGAACAACAAAGCGCGCAAAAAGGCGACCAGTTGGAGGGGGCGTCGCCGGGAGTCCGTCGCCGGCCAGCGCCAAACAGCTCGCTTCAATAATGATCCGTCTGTTGGGTAACTCTGTTTCGGAGTGTGTGTGTCTGGCTGCTTCGGGGGAGCCCGGCTCTCTCTCTCTCTCTCTCTCTCTCTCTCCCCCCCCCCCCCCCCCCCTTCCAGAGTTGCTCGTGGACGCGTGCATCCGATCCGGGTCCCTGTAATTGTAGCTCGCTGGCGGCCACGAGAGAGAGCGCGCGCGAGGTGCAGCAACAACAACGATCGCCAGAGTCGGTCTGCGATCGCAATTAAAATGGAGAGGGTCGTTGAGCAGAAGAAAATCAAAGCGCCGCTTTTCGTCTGCCTTTTGCCCGTGTCGCCCTCTCCAAGATCAACTATCGGGCTCCCCCTCCCTGCCCCCGGGTAATGGTAACAAATGCGAGCCTCGCGGCGGCGGGCCCGGCATCCCCCGGTCCTTCATGAATTTCATAGGCCCCTTTCCCCTCGCGCGTCCCACGCCCCGCGGCGAGCGCCTGTTTCGGAACTCCTACGGGCCACTCCTCTCGCACTGCACGATGTATTATGTACACGCCCAGTATTAGAGTCGGACAATTACGCAGTTTCTTGCCCCTCCCAGAACAGGAGATTCCATCGAGCGAAAGCAGCTGGCCGGAGAAAGGAAAGAAAGGAAAAAGCGCCTTCCGGACGCGGGTTCGGAGCCTGGCGCTCGCCTCGGGGGGGAGGCCCAGAAGGCACCCCCCCGGACCCTGGTCCCCGACCGACACCCCGACCGTACCACCGGCAAAGCCGACACGACGCTCGTCGTCCCAAGTGAACCTGGCACGCCACGAACGGCGACGGAATACGTATCTTTTAAAGAAAAAAAAAAAAAAGAACACGTTTTGACAAATTTTGGCGTAACTCAGTTGTCGCGCATCTTTTACGGGGGAAACCCGGCGAGTTTGATGAGATGCAGGACCGACTGACCAAAGAGAAGCGAGCGGACCGCATCCATATATAAATAGACTATTTAGCTGTGTAGCTCGAAACGGATACTGTTCCGTGTTTTTACAAAGGTCGTTAACAGCACCTGTTGGGGATGCATGCAACATGTGGTGATTGCATCCTCTCACGTGTATTAAAAAAAAAAAAAAATAAGAAATTGTTATTTTGCCTTTATTGCGCTCGCGTGACGAATCAGTGGTAAAATAAAGTTTAGAAATCAATTTCCTCAGTTTTCTCGATCAATGCTACTCAAAATAATTCCGTGAAACACACTGTATAATGCCTCGTTATAGCGTATCTGGCACCAAGGGCTCTCTGTATCATGACATTCAGGTATTAACATGCAGTTCAAACGTTGTTTTTAAAATAATACAGGACAGTTAGAAAGGTAAACTAAAACGACGGCCTCAAAATGTGTGGACTAATGAAGAAATAAGTGTGCCACATTAAAGCCTTGTGGAAACGATGCAGGCAAGACTCGAAAGATCTGCTTATGAAAGAATCTCGAGAGATACGAAATAAATTTACAGCCAAAATACGCCTAGCAAAAAATAAGTACTAGGCAGTAGACAGTTTTAATGGACCGTACACTAAAGCTTTGCGTGCGCAAAGAAATCGCGGGTAGGGAGTGCGCATGCGCAGCACGCGATAGAAGGGCTAGCGTGTTGCGTACGCACGCACCGCTATGGGGATTTCGCGTTGCGGGCTAGTGTGCTTTGCGGGAAGCTCTCGAGACATCTCGGGCCAAGCGAGAGCACCTGTTTCAAGATGGCGGTTACCTCGACTGGCGCAGTAAAGGGCGACGTGGTGTTCGCGAAGTTCAGTGTTATGTGAAATCCCGTGGTGTTCAGGTCGGCAATTCTTTCCGGGACCTAGCGGTCGAATCAGATCGCCATGCAGCTGAATGAGTGAACAGTGAAAATGTTCACCGCTCGCAATGTGCGTGACGACTCTTCCTAAAAATCGCTCAGGTTGTCGCTATGCACTGGACATCAGCAGGTCATGGATTTCTTCCAGCGATAGCATTGATAAAAGGTGCCGTTTCTACGGGACGACTGACGGAGGCTCCATGATTGAATTTGGTTACGCACTCGTCCCTTTCGTACCCCGCAGAAAGATGGTTGGAAAAGTTTTAATTAACAATATTTCTTTTGAGGACCACGGTGGCATTGTAAGCACGCGGAATTCAAGGCCCTATATACTGGGAGAGTTTGGCCGATGGGCGGAGCCTGTCGTCCGCTAGAACAAGCGGACTTTACGATAACACAATATAGAGGATTTTGCCTTTGGCCACTCTACTCGGCGTGCGCTAGCCCAAATGCGCGGTTAGTACTTGTTTTTTAAACAAAATTTCTTGTACTCTGAGTTTTGGTTATGCCTGCAATTGATCACTATATTTAAGCACTGGCCATCCTTTATTGATTTCCAAAAACAGAACTTACAAATAAGCTTTATTTCTTTTGGTTCAAAACAAAATTATGCTTTCTCAAACAAAACGAAATCTGGGAATTGAGCGCACGGGTTCGCAGCGCTTCTCCTAGATGGCGCTCGTCGCGGCACTGAATTTTAGCGGTGGTAATTTTTGAGACCTAATATTCAATACTAACTTTTCACAAAAGAGGAATAAGTTTAAGTTCATATAATTTTAAGAGATCAGAGCAGATAAGTAGGTTTGACTGGCGATTACTTTAGCACGATCTGTAAATTCTTTAGCACGATGCTGCTTAGCTGCCAATATTAAGGTTCTGTGGACTCGTCAAGCTGCAATGCTGTAGCTTTTTTCCACAGCTCCTTCATCTTGTTCGTACAAGGTGAAAATAAACTGATTTGATTTGATTACGTGTGCAGCGCCAAAAACACGTGCAATAACGAGAAACACCTTTATTACAATGGTGGGTCACAGCATCCCTAGTGTGCCTAATCCAGAGTGAGTTCGAAATTCGATAAGACAAAATGGCGGAGGCAAGGTGCCACCTGCTGGCTACCCGTGGTTGCTGGACTGACGGCATCTTCAAAAGAGCGCCAAACTCTCTCCCCTATAAAGGGCACTGGCGGAATTCTACGGCTCTGTTTAAAGGGACAGTGACACCACCAAAATTTGATTTCTTTTTTTTTTTTTTTGCCAGGAGATTTATTATGGTTTCAGAAGACTACCCAATCAATATTGTGCTACGGTGTCACGTATATTTTTAAGTAAGTAAAAAACGCAACTACTCGAAACCGAATCTGGACTGGAGAGGAAGAAGAAATATAGAGGAGGGGAGAGTTGGCGGAAGTCACGTGGCTGTGCAACTTTTTCTCTTCTTCGATCAACGTATTTGCGGCTTTCTAGAAACCACAAAAAAATTTGCGTCATATTTTTTTTTTTATATTTTTAATATTGAGTGTGTGCCTTCGATGACCCACGACTTTGATTACATTTGGTGGTGGTGTCTAAACCATAGCAAACGGCACGTGACCACAGAGAAGAGAGTAAGCGCGGCTCAAACTGGCCAGTTCTCGGTCGGCGGTTTTCGAGCAGAAAGAAAAGAGTGCAAGCACGCTATCGTTCCCGTTCTCAATTCACTCGGGAATTATTCCAGCTCAACGAGACCCGAAAAAAAAAAAAAAAAAAAAAAATATATATATATATATATATATATATATATATATATATATATATCTTCATAAGAGAGAGTTTTTTCTTTACAACAGTTTAGAGGGGACAAAACATATATTTTAATGATGATAATATCTGAAGGCGAGAATCTCGAACTCGAAGGTTTATCCTTTTTTTTTTTTTTCCCGCGGAGCGAGGCTTCGTGCAGCCGAGGTCCGTCCTCGAGCGAAGAAAGCTCGGAAGCAAAGATAAAAACAAAACACGAGGCAAATGAAAAAAAAAACAACAACTATAAACTATGTGATACGTTGCAAGATCAGAGCTACGCGGGCCGAGTGTTTGAGATCTTTAGGCATACTGACTCTTCAGAAGGTGTATGAGTATGTCATATTAATGCGCCATTATTATCACGAAGAAGCGTAAAAGCAGAGGTTAGAAAGATAAACTTGAAACATATGAAAGGTATGTTGTACCCACTATACTAAGAGGGGGGGGGGGGGGGGGGGGGGGAGAGCCACTATTTTTTTGAATAAATTACCAGATGACTTATTTGGCTTCTCTTCTTTAAATAAAGTGAAGAAACTGCTAAAAAACGAATGTAATAAATACAATATGTGATGAAATTGCATGAACCTTCCGTCTTGCTTTCGATTTTTAATTGTGTGTTGAATGGCTTTGCATTATTCACCCTGTATTCAACAAGCAAGTACTGATGTTGGATATGTTTTGTTTTATTCGCTGTGGTAAAAACACTAGGTTAGTGTTCAAAGAGTAATTATTGAATATGATACGGCGCTTGTGCGTGTGTGTGTGTGATACGGCGCTTGTGCGTGTGTGTGTGTGTGATACACACACACACACACGCACGCACGCACGCACGCGCACGCACGCACACACACACACGCGCGCGCACGCACGCACACACACACACACATACATACATACATTCCGGGTCAGGATCGCCCTCCCCCAGACACGCCGAGAGCACATTACCTCTCTTCCCTGGGGATGTCGACTCCCACTCCAGGAGGAGCCGTGATGTTCGTCTTGATGACAGAGCCGAAGTTCTTCAGGATAATACGGAGGCAGGAGCAGCCGGTCGACATATGCCTGCAACAAACGTTCCTCACATCAGACTCGGTCAGACCTTCTCGAACATTCTCAAAGAACCCGACGAGCTTCGTCGGGACCGGAGGCGGCTACTACAGGTCATCCAGAAAGGGCCAACTCCCAAAAACAAGAGGCCGCGGCTACGCGACAGATGTATAAATTGCCGAAATTCCCGAAGCAACACCCCCAAGAACAGGGCAGGGTCGCCCACTCCCCGCGCGACGCCGGCCCGAGAAGGCGAGAGCTGGACATTTGTCCCGGAGGAACATGCACCGCCCTAATGAGCGAAATCCCGCATAAATTGGTGAGGAATTCCGACACCAGCTCATACTGCACGGGCCGCACCTTCGGAACGTCGGCGGAACGAGGCTGCACCGAAATCGAAGACGGACGGTGGATTATGACGCGGCAGAGACGCGCCCGACGGGTAATTAATGATGCATAAGTGCGCGAGGACCCGGTCTCGCACCTCGTACGGCGAGGGGACAGAACGCGCTGCCGATGGCCGCGGAGCAATCCGAAGATTCCGGTCGGGAGCTCGACCTCCGCGCCGCTCCCGACTGCATCGGGAGCGACGGTGGGGGGACGCGCACCTGCTCGCCACGCACGCCCGGAGGAGACCCACCCTGGTCCTCGCAACAGTGGGAAGGAAATCTGGAAGGGTACGCTTTGTCCACTTTCTTCCCGCCGCCGGCTGTGGGGACTGCTCAAGACGAAGCAGTACGGAGAAGACGACCATTTCGCCAAGAACGTTAACAGAGCTGATGGACGCCACACAAGGTACTCCAGATCAGCTCACGATGTTTCAGTGCCGCCACTTCACTTCCTCTCTCCTGCGGTCTTTTTGAACGGCGCATACTACAATCCACACACTATATGTGCCAAGTCAACATAAGTGGAGAACATAAGTGGGGAACAATCAAACCCTGAGAGTGGTAACTGGACTACCGAGATACACACCCCTCGACGAACTAAGGAAATATGCAGGAATGAACAAGATAGAGGAGAAAGCAGAGTCACAACAAATCGCACACTTCCAACGCCTCGAAAGGTCTAAACATGGGCGAAGACTATTGGAAATGCTAGGATACTCCACGGAAGGTAGGCCCCCGATCGAGAAGGCTTCCCCACCATGGCAAGACATAGGCATAACTGACCACAAGCCAACATTCAAGGAACAAGGAACTAAACAGAGAAACTTCGCAGCCAAGAAACACGTTCAGTGGCTCGCGGAGGACACTCAATGTAAGGAAATAAGGTACACGGATGCCGCGAAACATGACGGGGCTGCCGCAGCAGCCTTTGTCGACCTTGCGAGGGACAGGACCTGGTCAGAGAAGCTTCCAACGCAGACCTCGGTTAAAGAGGCTGAACTGCGTGCAATTTTAGCCGCAGCCAAAGATATCCGAGAAAGAATCGACCTGCAGGTAACAGGGCCTGGATCTTCACAGACTCTCAGACGGCATTGAAAGCTTGCCGCAGCTGCAGAACGAGAAGCAGAACGGTTAAGATTAAGAAGATCAAGAATATTGCGGAGGAGCACAGGAAGCTAGATTCCAACATAACGATCGAGTGGCTACCCGGACACAACGATATCCCGGGGAACGAGAGGGCTCACCAGGCCGCAGCGGAGGCAGCTAGCAGCACCAGCTCCGCGTCAGGCCTTACCTCTCGAGTAGAAACGACGAACGAAATGTCAATAGACCCAGATGAAATGGCTGAGCAAGCCAAAGAAGGAAGGAAGGAAACTATACCTAAAGGGTCTTCTGCTAACAGAGGAAGACCCGATACCACCAGGGTACACGAGATGGGAGACGGTTCGGCTACGGCGAATCAGTACAAGGACGGCGTTAACTCTGGCGAAAACAACAAAAAAAAGCATCCTTCGAACTGAAGGACCACGAGGACCCAACGTGCAAGACATGCACAGAGGGATCCATGGCAACGACCAAACACGTGCTCTGGCAATGCAAAGGCCTGGAAGACTTTTAGAGTAGAGGCTTGGGACTCGCTACCCAGCGAGAAAAGGCCCACGAAGCTTGAAGACTGGACTCACCCCAGGGGACAGCCACAGCACAGAAAAGAAATCCTGGACTCCCTGATCAGCTACATCAGGGACTCTGGGGTCCATCACTTCATCTATATTTATACATAGTCACTTAACATTTCCTATCAATCCCTACATTCCTTTTCCCTCTCGCCTCAGGGACACCAACCCATAGACGAGTGAACCTTTCATTAAATAAATACATGGTCTCTCTCTCTCTCTCTCTGGGGGAAAAACGGGGCGTCGGCTTTATCATAAACTCAACACTGGGTTGGTCTTGCAGTCATACCTGTTACTTACACCTACACCTCGCTGGAACTAAACTAATACTTCTTATATTTTTCACACATACATAGCGCTACACGACGTAAACTTAAGCCCTCGGATGTCTACGCCAAGCACCAACGTCCGCTGCAAGGCGCGAACCCAAGCCCAAAGCCGAGGAAGAAAAACCGCCCCAAAACGGTTTTTATGGAAACTGGCCCAGAGAAAATCGGTCGCCTCCCTCGTCAACATTTAAAACCATCCCCATGTACGCACTTATGCTGGCAAAATACTTGCGTTCGCTTTCCGGAACGTAAAAGCCGCTATTGCCCCGGTAAGAAGGCGTTCTTTAGATCTCAACTTGCAAACGGAGCTCGGACACGCAAGACGGCGACCGCCCCGACACCCCACTAGGGGCCACAGTGTGGGCTTCCCCGGGGGTTGGGCGCAAGGTGCGCGGACGCCAGGATAGCCCGGGCCCCCGTTGCCCCCCGCGCGCCCCCGGCGCCCACCCCAAGTGCCCGCTCCGGGGCGCGACAACACCAGGCCAGCTGCGGCCATCAGCGTCGTCACTGTGATTTACGGTCGGGATGTGACTGCAGCCTGTAATTTGGCCCGTCGAGCTGCGAGACCCGCAGCGAGGTCTCCCCGCCGCCACCGGTGGTGCTCTGTCGCCCCTCCCTTCCCGGGGACGCGGTCACAGCACGCGCCCGTCGCACGCGCTCAGCTAGCCTGTGCACACGAGAATCCATCCAAGATGCAGATAGCCACCCCACATTAGAGATGGCGATCTTCCCCGCGCAGGTATACACTCGAGCGCGTCATACGACGCGCTTCCGGTTAGCCTTCCGAACGTTCACGCCAAGCATACTGCTCGCGTATATAAACTCTCGCACGCTTTCGGATGCCGTTCACCTTCCGAAGGATCCAGCAAAAGCCGAAGAAATCAGCGCGCACGATCGCGAAATCACCACCGCGCAGCAACAAATCGGCGAGACTCCGCGCACACTGGCGTTTTCCGATCCCTTCTGTAAGAATCGTCCGAGAGGGCGCATTTCTACTCGGCGGTGTAATTGCAGGGAGGGGCTGCTTTATTCCCCGCGAGTCGCTTCTCTTTGTCTGATTGAGATGAATCATGGCAACGGGTTTCGCGACGCCGTCGATGCTGCGCACTTGGAGCCGCTCAAATTGTTTGGTAAACGAGCCCTCTGCAGAGCTCCGCGCCGAGGTCCCAGTCGCCGGGGGCCAGGGGCGCGCACGAGTGGCACTTTGGCCGCTCGCCGAGGCGAGACCCGTCGCCAGCGGAGCGGGCACCTCCCACCCTGCCGCCGCCGCGCTCATCAAGTTGTTGACCTTTGCACGCCGCCTTTCGGCAATCGGCCGGCACAAAGTGCCTTCGAAAACTCGCCGCTCCGACAATTACCCCGTTACACAATGGGTCCTCCCCTCTCCCGAACGTGGACCCGCGAGTGGGTGCGAACGTACTTACGCGCGGGAGCTGTTCAGTTAGGGATACGGCCCACAGGCTATGTTCGCCACTTGTCCCGCCTTCGAAGGCACATGCATGTTTGTTCTGCGAGAAAGTAACTTGGTCTGCCCGGTTGCCGTGTAAAGCGAGCAGCGGAGCACGGTCGAGGTCGGCTGAGTCTCGCAGGAGGCCACGTCACGTCACAGCTCAACGCTGGAACAGAGACGCTCGCACGCGCATTCCTCTCGGGAGAGCTTTGATCATCGAAGGAGCGGAGTGAAATACACGTAGCAAATGACCGAGCCAATGATGAGAGCGAAGGATTTGCGTTCACGCATCCGGAGCACTGGTTAGATTTCATTATCGGGACGATACTGGCCAGTAACCTGTTGAGCAGGTCAGCCAGCCGCGGGCTCCTTTTGCAGAATAAACGGCGACTCTTCCTTTATTGGAAGGAGGTTACACAAATTAAAAGTAAAAGAAGTGGAACCTGTAAATCTGCTCTGATAGACGATGCGTCTGGCAGCCGCCATCTATCTACTCCTGTGAGCAAGCCCACGAAATCGCAAGCCTGTCGAAGCTTACGCCGCGCGCATGCCGCACCTGCCTGCACGCAAAGGGCAGAGCCGGGACGCATACCACCGGACGCAACGTTCGAGCCCGTTGTTCACAGCGCACGCCCGAACAAAGCGAGCTCCCGCTTATGTCTGCCAAGAACGACATTCGTACGGAATGTAGTACAGCGCGTACAAGCGATCGCCGGGTTTGCACAGAATATGTCATACGGCTGTTAGTGACCGTTTCCGGTTCTCGCTCCAGTGCCGGAAGAAAAGGCGAATGTGAACCGAACGCTGACGCTGCGCTCGTCTCATCACTGATTGGACACGAGCGCCAACCGAACGTCTTGTTCGAGGAGGTCCGAGTTACTCCCGTGGGTCACATAACTTAACCAAACATAGAGCAAGACGTTTGCAAGTACGGCCTCAGGGCGCTGCCATCTTGTTGCCGGTGTGTGTAGATCTTCTCATAGACAAGCATTGCGGAGGCGTACCCACGGTTTCCAGACTGGCGCCTAAACAAGGCGTTTTCCATCCACGGTGGCCAGACCTGACCCCACTCGCGGCTAGTATGGGCGAGAGCGTGATCACGTGGCAAAAGATCGATGCATGACTGGTCCAACGAGCTTGTAGCTTCCATCGCCTTGTCAGCATAGGGACGAAC